GAAAAAATATGATTTACCGTATTTGCCATACCACTCTCTGGCATTTCTCCAAAGAACATGGAAATGCTAATTCAAAAGATATTTTCACCCCTATTTCAAAACAGCATTATTCACAGTAATAAAGATGTGGAACCTGGGCCAGAAATCCCAAAAGGGTGGAGCATGTCTGGCAAGCATGATGCCCCAAGCCTGACCCCCCAGCACTAGTACGCCCAGGCAATACTGTATCTCCTAAGTACTAGGCATCAGACTGCAAAGAGTGGTACCCAGGAACCTTGAGCAGTGCTTGGTAAACTCCCCCCCCACACACACACACATATACACACACAAGATCAAACTAAATGTCCGTACACAGATGACTGAATAAAGAAACTGTGGCATATATACTCAGTGGAAGACTCCTCTATTCAAAAAAAGAGAAAACTGTACCATTTGGAGCATACTAGATGGAACTTGAGGTTACTGTGCTAAGTGCAACAAGGAAGTAATAGACAATTACACACTAAATGGTTTCATTCATGTGTGTAATCCAAGTGATTAAAACAAACTGTAAAGACAATCAGATTAACTCCAAGACTTGATGAAACACTAGGCAGCAATAGGAGTAAAGGGAAGTGAGAGGAAGGAATGGGCAGAGGCTGTTTCCCATGACTGCGAAGTCCTAGTACTATGGTGGTGAGTGTAGTGAGTTCTATATACTTAGTTAGGTCGAAAACTAGACCTCTTGTGGACGTGGGTCAGTCTCTGTGGTGTGAAATGATATCTCATTGTGGTTTTGATCTGCATCTCTCTGATGATTAGTGATGTAGAGCATTTTCTCATGTGCCTTTTTGCCATTCGAATTTCTTCTTTGCGAAAGTTTCTGTTCATTTCCTCACCCCATTTTTTGATGGGGTTGGGTGATTTCTTCTTGTGGAGTTTAACCAGTACCTTGTATATCCTTGATATCAACCCCTTGTCGGATGTGTACTTGGTGAATATCCTTTCCCATTCTGTAGGCTGTCTTTGTATTTTGGTCAATGTTTCTTTTGAGGTGCAGAAGCTTCTTAGTTTAAGATAGTCCCATTTGTCTATCTCTGTTTTCACTTGCTCGGCCAGTGGCGTGACATCTCTGAAGATACCATTAGCTTCAATATCATGGAGAGTTTTGCCGACTTTGTCTTCAATAAACATTATGGATTCTGGTCTGATGTTGAGGTCATAAATCCATTTTGATCTTACTTTTGTGCATGGTGTTAGGCAGAGATCCACAAGAACAAAAGCAACCGGTGCTGGCGCGGATGTGGCGAGAAAGGGACCCTCCTTCACTGCTGGTGGGAATGCCGGCTGGTCCAACCCTTTTGGAAAACAGTATGGACGACTCTCAAAAAATTAGAATTTGATCTGCCATTTGACCCAGCTATAGCACTCCTGGGAATATATCCCAGAGAGGCAAAAAGGTATAGTCGAAGTGACATCTGCAATTGTTTGTTCATTGCAGCACTCTTTACAATAGCCAGAATCTGGAAAAAACCTGAGTGCCCAAGAACAGATGACTGGTTAAAGAAACTTTGGTACATTTACACAATGGAGTACTAAGTAGCTGTTAGAAAAGATGAAGTTATGAAATTTACATACAAGTGGTACTACATGGAAAGTATCATGTTAAGCGAAATGAGTCAGAAAGAGCGGGATAGACACAGAAAGATTGCATTCATCTGGGGAACATAAAGCAACAAAAAGGGAGAGTAACACCCAAGAATGGCTGAGATCAGTACCAGGAATTTTGCTCCATGAATGGAAGGCCAGCCACAGGCTCTAGGTGAAAAGGAAGCTCAGATAGAGAAGAGAGTACCAAATGAAGGGTGTTGTGAGGGCCCTCCCAGGGTGGGAGAAGCATGCTAAAAGTAGTCGATAGACCAAACATGATTGCCACTCAAAGCCTCTCTTGCAAAACACAGTACCCAAAAGAAGAGAGAGAGAACAAGGGGGAATACCCTGCCACAGAGGCAGGATGGGACGGGGGGGGGGGGGGGGAGGGGGATGAGGGTTGGGGGGGGGATGCTGGGACCCATGGGGATGGATGACAGGCACTGGTGGAGGGATGGGCACTTGATCATTGTATAACTGAAACCCAAGCACAAAATTTGTAAGCCTATAACTGTACCTCATGGTTTTTCACTAATAAAAAAAGAAAAAAAAAGAAAACTAGACCTCTAAAATTCTGGAATTTTTACTGGATGGACTTGAACTAGAATTGAAATGCTATAACTGTTTTACATTATTGTAATATGATGATAAATACATGAAACATGGGGGTGTAAGATGATAAAATACTTCTTAAGTAGACTGATATTTTGAATCAAAAATAATAATAATAATAGTAACAGAAACATAGTAGAAAGAATAGCTAAATGTGTGCAACATTGAACAGTGAAAAAATAGTAGGACAGACTTATGGAGTGTTGTCTGCCTTGAATTAGGAGGTGTGGGCTGAGATGTGACGAGTTGTTTTGAAAACCGACCCACAAATATTTTATTTACTGCATCTAGTTTGCATGTCCCATCACCACCAAGACACCAATTGGACAAGAGCTCCTTTACACTTGAGGGTGGAGGGGGTGGGCAGTGTGGGGATGTGGAGAGAGATCTCCCAAACAGTGCTCAAAAGACCCAGAGGCCACACCTCCCTTCCCCACCTCTCCCCACCCCCACCAATACTCAATCACTGGGGCCTACAGTTCAAGGCAAGGCCCAAGGATGCGGTGCTGTTCAGGTCCTGCTGCAAAAGGGATCACACAGGCACCCCTTGTGTTGCTCAGAGGCCCCAGGACTGCATCCAGCAGTGCTAGGAGCCCCCGAGGCCACACCCTGTGAACCAGGGTGTGAGCAAGCACCTTACCTGTTGTGCTCTCTCTCCAGTCCTTCTTTACACTTTCTAACCATTCAAACTTCTACTTACCCCCATATCAACAAACTCAAAGAGAAAACACTCCTCTGAAAATAAAAGTAGGTCTCCCGAAGTGTAACTTCCATTAAATTTCCCTGTTAAAAAGTCAACAGCAGGGGCTAGAGATACAGTACAGCGGGGAGGGCATTTGCCTTGCACATGGCCAATTAGAGTTTGATCCCTGGCATCCCACGTGGTCCTCCGAGCACCACCAGGAGTAATTCCTGAGTGCTTAGCCAGGAGAAACTCTGAGCATTACCTGGTCTGACCCAAAATGCCAAAAAAAAAAAAAAGTCAACAACAATGAGCCATAAAAAGCACAGTGCACACCTGCCCTTGAGATCGCCGCCTGATTCCCACTACGTGGCCCGGTCTTGGGCTCCTGGTACCAGCTGCTCTCAAGGGCTGACTAATGGAAATGCAGCTCAGGGGTTGAATCTCAGCTGGGGTTGGTACTCTCATGACTGCAAGATTAGGACTTAGTCAAAAGCACATCTTTTTTTAAGCACTTCTTGATGCTTACTCTGGAGCAGCATATAAACGGGAATAGAGAGGAAAAAAAAAAAAAGAGCAGCCAGGGTGTAAATGGATAGGAAGGAGGTGACAGTGCTGAAAAGTAAAACAAGTGAGGACCACAAGAAAATATGGAGGGAAGGAAGTTTTGCTTTGTTTTGGGAGTTTTGGTGTTTTTCTTTTGGTTTGGTTTGGTTTGGTTTGGGGCCACACCCAGCTGTGCTCAGGGCTTTCTTCTGGCTCTGTGCTCAAGAATCACTTCTGCTTGAACTAAGGGAACCATATGGAGTGCCAGGGATCCAACCCAGGTGAGCTTACTCATATCATCTCTCTGGCTTGAGAGAGATTTTTAAAGTTACAAGGATCTGGAAACACATTAAGCTTGCTAGTTTTCACTTACTGAAGACTGAAGAACACCAAGATGATAGAATTTAGAAGGCAGTATGAGGGCACCGCTGGCCATTAGGCCAAGACTAGCTCTAAGAGAGAACACAAGGAGATCACAAGCGCAGCCTTGCCATGTTTAATTATAGATGAAATCAAATTGGACACATCCTATGGGCAACTAGAAAATCATATTACAGAGAATTTCCAATAGGTTTAGAATGCCAGCCAGCTCACAATTAATTCAGTGGATTAAAGATTTTTTTTCTCATCAGCAACTTAAATCACAAGCAATTCAAACATGAAATACGCTCAAGAAGGACTTAGAATGTATCACACTAATTGATGAGTAGTAACACCCTATGAACTGTGAAAAAGAAAATCTAATATATAAAGATGATTTTATGAGAAATTATTATTACCTTTCACTTTTCCCACAATATCATTATACAGATTATTATTCTGACTGTAGCTAGTAGTTCACAGGTTTATTATGTCACGTAAATTAAGAATAACACTGTAGCACTGTCATCACGTTGTTCATCAATTTGCTCAAGCAGACACCAGTAACGTCTCCAATGTGAGATTTATTGTTACTGTTTTTGGCATATCAAATACACCATGGGGAGCTTTCCAGGCTCTGCTGTGTGGACAGAATACTCTCGGTAGCTTGCTGGGCTCTCCAAGAGGGATGGAGGAACTGAACCCAGGTCAGCCGCATGCAAGGCAAATGACCTACCCGCTGTGCTATCACTCCAGCCCAAGAATACGACTTTTAATTCTATGACAATTTTTTTGGCTTTTACTCAGATTTTTTGTGTTTGAGGACCACATCCAGAGATGCTCAGGCCTTACTCCTGGCAATGCTCAGAAGACCATATGGGATGTCAGGGATTGAACCCTGATTGACTACAGGCAAGGAAAGGTCCCCACCCTACCTATCTCTCCAACCCCCTCACTTTTTCAATGACAAACTCCCATCTTGATCAATTCAACATGAAAACAGTGTGATAAAACCATCGAATGAAACTAATGTGTTTTAGTACATCATTAAACCTTCTCTGTGTGCCGTGTCACAGATACGAACCCAGGGTCCCACCCAGGTAAGGCCAGTGCTATACCTCAAGGCTGCATCCCCTTTCCCTAAGCAATTAAATGTGAAGTAAACACTTACCACATTCTCCTTCATCTTTCTTAATTTTTCATCAATCTCTCTCAGACGATGTTGCTGATCCCGTTGCTCCCTGATGTCTCGAAGTACCTTCTCCCCTGGAGTGATTTCCATATTTCTGCCATCATCACCAAGGTCAGGATGCTAGTTTGAAAAATTTTTTAAAAAGGCATGAACAGGCTAAGATGTTCCATTACACACCACTCCAAAGCATCTCAGACTTAGAAACTGGTGTTGTTTCTCAATCTTTTTTCTTTTCAAAATGGCATAAACTTCTAAACTCCTAATTGAGTGGGGAAGGATCCAACTGCACTTTAAAGATGATGGGGGAAAAAATCCTCAACGAGCTAAAAGGCAGGAAGAGGGGAAGGGATACCTAAAGAGAGCAAGCCTGAGGGCACATCCTACTCTGGGCCTTATCAGCTTGGCCTTTGGGTTGAACCACAGTTTCTGTGGACTTCAGGCTCATCACAAAGACAATGCACGAGAGTTAGGGAATTTTCCAGTTAGGAAAGGCAGCTGTGTAAGACACAAAGCAACTTGGGCTTGGCAGAATTCAAGAGTTTTGAATCTGTGTTTTTGATTCCTGATGAAAATGGCCTCAATCAATTAACCTCTGTTTCTTCGTCTATCTAATGATCTAGCCTAAAGTCATCACAAGTCTTTGTCGCTAAGAAATGTGAGCTCTGAAAAGAAAAAATACTGTAGAATGAAAATATCGCATTGTTTGTAGCAAAACTGAAATCGTTAAGACCATACTCTTTGGAGCTGATTTTCTCTTTTCTATTTCTTTTTTTGGGTTATACCCAGTGATGCACAAAGGTTACTCCTGGCTCTGCACTCCTGGCAGTGCTCGAGGGACCATGTGGGATGCTGGGAATTCGAACCTGGGTTGGTTGCATTCAAGGCAAATGCCCTATCCACTGTACTATATACCTCCAGCCCCATGATTTTATTTCTAAGTGATATAAGGGGATATTTCTCAGACTATCCTATATCTAAAATGAAACTTTCCATAGATCTCTCACTCTGAAGTTTCTCGAGCCAAAATCTTCCCCACTATCATCCCTCCATCCCCACCCCATACCTTCTCAGGTAACCTTAGTTTTGTTATCCATGTCTACTGATTTTTTTCTTTAATTTGCTTTGTTACTTCATTGATTATACATCTTTATATTGCATGCTAAGATGATATTATCCAGTAGTTGTCTTTTTCCTTCTGCCTTATTTCACTTTGCACAATTCCTTTCCATTTTGTGGGAAATGACAGCATTTCATCTTTTGTAGCTAAACAGTATCCCAGTGCACACTGTACCACATCTTTATCCAGTCATCTTCCAATGAGCATTTCAGTTCCTTCCATATTTTATCTATAATAAGCATGCTATAAACATCAGGACAGATGTAATTTTCTATGTCGGTGTTTTGCAAAAAAAAAAAATGAATGGGCAGACAATTTGAATAAATACTTCTCCAAAGAGAACAAACAGATTACCAAGAGGCTTTTGAATAAATGCTCATCACAACTGATCAAAAGGGATATGCAAATTTGACCACAAAGAGATACCATCTCACATCATAGAGAATGTCAATATTAAAAGCAACAAGAATCTTGGAGAGGAATGTGAAGAAAAAGGAACTTTTGCTCATGGTTGGTGGGAATGTAAATTGTAACAACCATTTTGAGAAATGCTATGGAGTTTCCTCAAAAACCCTCTATCATTTGTTACCAAGAGGCAAGGAACCATGAAGTAACTTCTTATTAATCCCTTAACCCAGAGATCCATGTTTTCAGGTACACTTGTATAATCTTTCAAAATAATCAGGGGGTCAAAAAGAATATGGCACTGAAAATAGGCAGCATTCCACATTTCCACACCTCTTTAATCAAGCCCTTTGCTCTGTCTCTCTGACTCTTCACTCACTTGAATATGAAGTTTTTGAACTCCAGCATACCTCAAACATGCCTATAAGGCCCATGAGAATACACCCTGTGCCCAGACCCCACTGTGAGACTCTGAGTCAATAAGCAAGGACTGGGACCAGCAACCTGAGTGAAGCTCTGGATGGCCCTCCTCCTTACCAGAGTACCACTGAGCACCAGATCCGAATGCCAGCAATAATTCTGAAACTGTATAAACACAAACATCTGAGAACTACTGACTAAAGTCACTAGCAAGCCTTTCCACTGGTCCCAGAGCCACTGATTTCCCTGTTCATTCTGCCCCTTTTCGTAGAAGCCACAGAGCAAGGTACAAAGTTCCCACCTTTTCCTAGTTCTGGCCGGGCCAGTCTCTTCTGCCTCACCTCGCAGACACAAAGTCCCTGAAATCTGCACTGCTGCTAGTTCTCCATCACTATAAGTCTCTTCCCTCAAACTCCCTGATGAGGCCTACACCCTTTCTTTTTTTTTTTTTCCCCTTTATTTTATTTTATTTTTTTAAAGTTGTAGATTTACAATTTTTTTGTGCTTTGGTTTCAATTATACAATGATCAGATACCCATCCCTCCACCAGTGCCCATTTTCCACCACCATGGATAATATCCCTCCCACCCCCATCCCCCCATCCCCCCTGTCTCTGTGGCAGGGCAATCCCCTGTGTTCTCTCTCTCCTTTTGGGGCCTACACCCTTTCTAAGTCCAGCACAAACAGGTGTTCATTCTCCAGTGCTTCCTGACACACCAAAGAACAGCAAGTTTTTCTCTTTGCCTTGCCACGTGCTCTCTCATCCTTACCAGATTACCACTGAGCATCACATCCTAACGCAAATGATAATTCTGAAACTGCGTAAATACTGGCCAATAGACTGTAATCTTGGGTCTCAGAACTCTGACTACACATTTCAATGAAAACATAATTATATAAAAATTTAATGAGAGAGGTAGTACAGAGATTAAGACCCATACCTTGCATGCAGCTGTCCCTGGTTCCATCCCTAGCACCACATGGTTGCCTGAGCACTCTGGTCCCCCCAAACCCTCAGGTGTGGCCCTGGAGTCCGTAGGCAACATCAGGTGACGCAGAGTCATCTGTGTCCAGTCCATTGAGCTGGATAAAATGCCTTACATGTTGGCAGCCCAGATTCAATCCCCAGTCCCATGAGTGTCTCAAGCACCATCAGGAGTGACCCTGAAGCTCTAAGTGAGGAGTAGGTCCAGAGTGTCACTAGGTATGACCAAAAAAAAAATGAATAAAATGTAGGACTCAACATTGTATGCAAATGCATATAGTGCCTTTATGCATATAACCAAATGTACAACATCACAATGATAAACTGGCGGGGGGGGGGGGGGGGGCGCAGAGCATAGAATGGGGAAAGCAGTGATCTCTTCCTTGCTCACTCTCTCTCTCTCTCTCCCTTCCTTCCTCTCTCCCTCTCTCTCTCTCTCTCCCTCTATTCTGTCCTCTGTCCTGTGGTTTAGTCAAAATGGGGGAAGATAGTTATTAAGAGATTGGAGAGAAAGAAAAGAGTTTAGGATGTTTTCCTCCACACTTCCCTGTTTTTGACAATGATTTATCCCTGAGATGCCCATAAGAAAATTTTTTTGGATTCAACTGACTAGTTGTGCTCAGAGACGGATATATATTCTGATTCAGCTGACTCAGATGGAGGGAGGCAGGAAATAGCAGTTGTGTCCTGTTACCTTGTTCAATGAGAGGTTTGGCAGAGAGAGACCCATGTCAGACAGGTACAGGGACAGAGACACTACGCAACAGGCTGCATGTCCAGTCATAAGAGTCCCTTTCCTTATGGCTGAAGTTGAGCCTCCCATCAGCTCTCCACCATTCTCTCCCATCCCAGGGCCATGTTGTTTTTTTTTTATAATTTTGGAGCAATAGCACAGCGGGTAGGGCATTTGCCTGTACACAGCCAACATGGCTGACCCAAGTTCGATTCCTCCGCCCCTCTTGGAAAGTCCGGCAAGCTACCAAGAGTATCTTGCCCACAGGGCAAAGCCTGGCAAGCTACCCATGATGTATTCGATATGCCAAACACAGTAACAACAAGTCTCACGATGGAGACGTTACTGGCCCGCTCAAGCATATTGATGAACAATGAGGACAGTGACAGTGATTTTCATAAAGGACAGGAGCGATAGCACAGCGGGTAGGGCATTTGCCTTGCATGCAGCCGATCCAGGTTCAATTCCTCCACCCCTCTCGGAGAACCCGGCAAGTTACTGAGAGTATCTCACCCGCACAGCAAAGCCTTGCAAGCTACTGGTGACATATTTGATATTCTAAAAACAGTAACAACAAGTCTCACAATTTGTTGTGTGTCGTTACTGGTGCCTGCTGGAGCAAATCGATGAACAATGGGAGGACAGTGCTACAGTGATATTTTCATAAAGTTGTTCACAATAATTAATTACATTCAATACTTCAACATGAATCCCTCCACCATTATTTCGAAGTTCCCACCACCACTCAAGCCTGCCCCACAGGTCAATGATAGATAATTACTTGTTATGAAAAGTTTAAGATGTCTGTAAGGGTCTGTCTCACAGTGATTCAACAAAAAAGCAAAAAAAAAAAAGAAGTATAAGATATCCCAGGCCATGTGCTCCTGGGATCATAAAACTTTAAATAATTGGGGTCCAGAGCCATTCCTGCAATGAGCTGCTCGATTTCAAGATTTATTTGTGAGTCTCTGGATCATGGCTGTTAATGCACTTAAATGGCACCTGGAGGCAGTTTGTGGGCAGGACAGCCAGGACCCCGAAAGGGCAGAGAGATGATGGGAAGGTATGCCAGGGCCTGTTTAGTATAAGCAGAGCCACCTCCTAACAGAGTTGAAATTCCATCTTTCATCCAATTGTCAAAGATAAAGAAAATTACTGACAGCTCATGTTCTCATGCTAAAGGGGAAGGACTGGCCAACCATCTGCCTACAACCTCTATGATGCAACTCTGAATGACCTCTGCGTCAACCACTTCTCTGACCCTCCTGAAGCTCCTACACACTGTTTATTCTCCCTGCCCACACCTAGCCTCTGGCTGTCCCAAGCCCTTTATGGGCTCCTTTAAATGTATAAACAGTGCCTCTTTATTTTCTTATCTTCAAAATCCCAGCTGAGGCTATATTCTGTTTCTTTCCCTGAATTCTAACTAATATTGTGTATGTGTATATACAGACTGGAAA